CATTCCTGGCAGGGGGAATGTGGGGTCTGGGGGTTACCTGCCTCCCACTCCATCCTCCTGGTCCTGCTCACCTGGGAGCATCTCAGGGCAGCTTGGGCCGCCATCCTCCCTGCCTGGCAACCGCCAATCAGAGGTGGCTCAGCCGTTGCCCTGGAAACCCTCGTTGCCATAACAGCAGCTGATGGAGGCCCAGGGAAGGCAGATGGTGGCAGAGTGGGACACAGGAGGGATGGGGGGCTGAACATGCAGAGCCCTCCCTAAGGCAGCTACCAACCCCTCCCAGGGCCACGGCACAGAGAGCAGCAGAACGGAAACACTTCCATCCAGCCCAGATGGGGACGGATGAACCTCTGCAGGTTCTGGCTTTGCCACCCCTCTCACTTTGTCCCACCTTCTCCTGCAGCCACTGTGCCCCAGGACCATCAGCCCCCATGCCTGATGCCCACCCACCTCACTATCTTCAATCCTACCACCCCACTCCCAAAAGCAGAGCTGTCCACCCCAGGCATCACTCCAAGACAACCCTCCCAGTCCGGGTGCCAGGCCCAAAGGGGTCCACCTTTGGGTGAAAGGATGCCCAAAAGCCCCAGTGCATACCTGGATCTGCCCCTTGCCCATGATCTTGTCCACAATTTCGTTGTTGTCCTTGTTGAGTTTGGTCTTATCATAGCACTTCTCGTAGCAGAGGATGCGCAGGGACTGGGAGCCCTCCAGCTCGATCTCGAACTCCTGGGGTGTGGAGGAAGGGTGGCTCAACCCCAGCACCCCAGAGCAGCTCCAAAACCGGGGTTGAAGGGAAATGGGGAACACAGTCCCCTCCCTGCATCCCACCCTCCCTCACCTCATTCCACTGCGGCTCCGTGGTGTCCCGGAACACCCTGGTCTTGGCTTTGCTGACAAAGTAGCCAAAGGAGTCCACCTCCAGCGTGCAGTAGAGGTCTGGGGGAGCAGACATTCCTCAGCAGCCCAGGAACACCCTCACCATCTCCCAGATGCACTGTGGGCAGAGCAGGGCCACGTGCTGGACCCCAACTCTTCCGAGCCCACTGGCCCCTCCAAACAGGGTGGGCACCCACACTTACTGGCTGACTGCTTGAAGCCCTTGGCAGAGTGGACGATGACGTGCAGGAACCCATAAAGCCCTGGGGACTCGTCATCTGTGGCAGGAGAGCAGAGGCTGTTTCAGGGCCTGGGGCTGGCCATCCCCAAGGCAGCCTTTGCCAGAGTGAGCACAGTGCCTGCAGAGACACTCAAATGCCCCCAAGCCCCTGGAGGGACATCTCTAAGTTCTGTATCCCGCACTGACAGGCATCCCAAGCTCTCCTGCTGCTGGGGTAGGTTCCCAGTGGGGCTGGTTGGGTCTCACCCTGGGCACACTGGTCCTGCCCCACCCATGGCAGGGGCTGGAGAGAGCCCAAAAGCAGCCCTGTGCTGCAGCTGGGATTGGGCTGCCTGGGAGCTCGACGCTGCTCCAGCAGTGCCACCTGGTGGGAAGCTGTCCCCTGCACAGCAGAGTCCCCGCTTCAGCTCAGGGACCCCACAGCTCCTGCCCGGCGTCATCCGGGCAAAGCAGGACCCAGCGGTCACTCACCGTCCTTGTTGCTGGTGACGGGGATGTTGTGGACAGTGCGTAGCTTGAAGCAGGATCCTGTGAGCACCTGCAGCTCCACTGAGCTCAGAACAAAGGCCTGGAGGTCTGGGAGAGGACAGAAGCTTCAGAGGGACAGAGCCAGTGCTGGTCATAGAGACTGGAGAGCAGGCTGGCATACAATAGGACTTCTCTGTGGCTTCTGGGGGGACCATGACCCCCAAGAGCGCCTCAGCAGCCCCAGACTCACCCTTTTTCTGCAGTCTCTGGATGGCCTCCCTCCACTCGGATCGCTCGTAGTCGGAGGAGAGCAGGAAGAGGTAGCTCTGTAAGAGAGAGGAAGATGTGGCAAGCTGTGCAGGCAGGGCTGAGCCCGGCCCCAGCCCGCCCTCCTCACCTTCCCGTTGCGGTTGTGGATGCGGAAGGGAATGGCAGGTGAGTTGAGGAGCAGCCAGAATTCGTTCTCAAACATCTTCTTCTTGAGGCGCTCGATGGCACGGCTCTGCCCCTTGTTGGCTTTCTGCAGACAGGGAGCAGAGAGAACCTTTCAGAGGTGCTCCTGTCCCCCACATCCCATCCCTGATCCAGAGCAAAGCACCACCCCACGAGCAAGTCCCACAGCTTTCTCTCACCTCCTTCTGCATCTCGCTCTTGATGGTTGAGATCTTCATCTTCATGTCCTCCAGCTCGTGGTCGGGGATGACGTGGACCTGCGGGCAGTGCTCCGACTCCTCCAGCGAGGGGAACACCAGGTCGGCCAGGGGCACGTACCACTTGCAGTCGTACTGCTGGTGCTTCCTGCAGCCAGGGCATGGGTGCTGACTGATGCCTGACCCCCTCCCTGGCACATCTCCTGGCCCACTGAGGGACAGGGTGGGTTGTGACACATTCCCCCTGTGCCCAGTGCCCTCCTTACCCCACTGCTGTCTTCTTCAGCTTGGCACAGAGCAGCACGTCGGTGAAGAGGAACACGTGTCGCAGCTTCCGCGAGCCCTCCGACAGCTCCACCAGGAAGCCATCCTTGACAAGCTGCCGGGTCTGTGTGGCAGAGGGGCTGCCATGAGAGCAGGCAGGGAGCAATGGCCAACAATCCATAGGGAAAGGCTGACAATCCTGTCCCTCTCTGTGGCTCAGCCACCAGGAGCATGGAGAGGTCCATGTCCTCTATACTTAGTGAAGGACGAGATAGAGCCCTAATCTTGTAGCTAGAACTGTATCTGGAGGAACCCTTCCAACTCCTACCCAGGCACCAAGGAGCTCTTCAGGGCAGAGACAGCAGCCAGGGGCTGGCAGAGGGCTCAGCCCTCACCCTGTGCCCAGCCACTGCCCACCCCACAGCTCACCTCGCCCTTGGGGGTGGTGACCGCTGTCCTCCGGGGGTCAATGTCCTCATTGATACTGGAGAGGAAATTCTGGGAGATGCGGAGGGCGTCCTGGAGCAGCGGGTAGTCAGGGTGGTCAGCTGGGGTGTGCTTGAGGAGGTCCTGGAAGGAGACAGGCACAGGTTAGCAGCTCGAAAGCAGCTGGAGACCCCTCATCAGTGCTTCCCACAGCTGCAGATTCCCCTGAGCAGCAGGGACAGAGCCCACCACCATCCCCATGGGACTGGCATCACACTCACGTGCAGGACGAGGGTGCTCCGTGTCACCCGGTCGATGGGTTTGTAGAGCAGCGCTGAGGGGAGAGAGAAAGTGTCAGCAGCCACCTGTGGCTGGAGCCCTGGCCCCTCTCCCACCTGCCACAGAGAGCACAGGAGCAAGGAGGGGAGCCCAGATGCCCAGAGAGCCCCCCTGGTCTGCACAGAGCCCTGGGCAAGCATCTGTCACCTGTCCTGCCCAGAGCCAGCACAGCTGGACAATCGTGGTAGTGCCAGGAGCAGTGGGGAGCCACCGCTGCCACAGCCCCATGTCCTGCTGTGGGGGGCACCAGCAGCCAGAGCTAGGCTGGTCACGGGTGCTGAGATGGTGTGTCCCACCAAGCCCGTGGCAGCACAGGACTGGGACAGCCCTCTGGAGGGCAGGGCCTCCCCGGGAGAGCTGCACCCACACTTGCTGTGCTGTGGCTGTGCAGCGGAAGAGCCGCTCACTCGTCACTCTCAGCAGCTTTTTTAGTTTCCCTTGTGGCTCAGTGGTGGGTCCCGTCCCTCACCTGGCTCTGCCACCCCACAGGACACCCTGTACCCACCTCTCTGCACCATGCCAGCCAGCCCTGGTGCAAAGTGGATCCAGGCTGCTCCAGCAGCAGCAAAACCGCCACCTCCAGAGAGCACCGGGTCCAAGGCTTCAGCCCAACCCCATTGCCCCATGTCCCTGCCTGCAGCCCCACCCAGGGCAGGGGGCACAGCTGCCTCACAGACGGGGTACAGAAAGTACCTTTTTCCTACCACACACCCTCCCAGCAGGAAACAGCCCCAGAGGCTCTCCAGAGGCACATTTCAGTGGAAACTTACAGACCCTTCTCCTCCTCCCCACCTCTTTGGGCAGACAAAGGCACGGAGCCCACTCACAGTGCTGCTCTCTGTGCCTGGCCACATTCATGTCTCCCTAGGCTGCTTTCAGCCAGGCTGATGCCTCTGGGTTTTCCCTTCACTTTGGAGCACTTCCCCAAACTGCCAAGGCTGAGAGCAGCCAGGTTTCAGGAAGTGGGAGAGGAAGGAAAGGTGCCACCTCCTCACTCTAGGCTGAGTCGAGAGGAGTTCCCATTCCCTGTATCCCAGAGCTGCTGCCTCATAGCACCCAGTCCTGAGACAGGGTGAGGTGATGATGCCAGGCTGAACCCCAAACAGAGGCTGCACCCCCACAATTCCATGCCAGAGGGTAAAACAAGACCCCTGTTCCCTGTGACAGCCAGCAAGAACGCTGCTCTGGGATAAAGGTGACAGGCAGGGTCATCTGGCACATCCTCCCTTTTCCAGCATCCTAGACCCACAGGTCTAGGTGGACCCTCCTGCTGCATCACTACAGGCATACACAAAGCTCCAGGGAGGCCTGGGAGGGCTTGTCCCAGCACAACAGAGGAGCAACAGGCTCCTTGTGCACACAGCCTGGGACCCACGGGCAGCAGCAGGCAGGGAGAGATGCACATTCCAGCCCCACCATGCTGGGGCACACGGGGACCCCTCCCCATCACCATCCACACGGCACAGCCCGGGCAGAGGGGGTTCCCCAGCCCAGGATCCCCCTGCCCAGCTCAGCTCCTCCCGTCCCATCCCTGGCACGAGCCCCTGCCCGGCGGGGACGGCGAACGCGTGGCTGCGTGTGCCAGAGCCGAGATGATTCAAGCGAGCCTGGAACAAAGCCGTTCCCAACTTCAGCCTGCAGAGCACGACGCAGCCCCCACCCCCCGCCTCTGGCCACGGCCACGGCCGCTGCGGAAATGAAACCCAGCTGGACGGCGCGACCGAGTCCGGCCCCGGCCCCGTGGCCGATGGGACCCCC